TTGCCCAACTTCCCGCTCTCGGATTATTTCTCTCCAAATCCCACGACAGCCTCCTTCTACCTCATAACCTTACCCTCCTCCTCTTCCTTCTAGTTCTGCTCTTGCTCCTACTCCTACTTCTACACACCATCCTCTACAGGTGTATAAGACTCCATCCTATCTTGACGATCTTGAAGGAGCAGCAACACCACACAACCTCCACGAAAGACACCACCTATCCGAAGGAGGACGACGACAACATCGACAGCAGGATAGAGCCTGCCTCACAACCTCACATCAACCGCAGTCATGCTAGACCCCTCAGCGAGCCGGCGGTATCAGCCGATGGACTCGTCCACAGTCTACTCCCACTCCCGCACACGCACGACGTCCTCAAATACATTCCCCATTCAGAGCCCGACGCCGATGCACCTCCAGCAGCAGAATGCCATGAACCCTCAGCAACATACCCGCCGCTCACCGTCAGTAAACACCTTCAGCACCTCCTCGAGCATTCCTCCACCCGCCGCCTACCGCACCTCGCCCACCACCGATCTTCGTCGCTCTACCTCCTCTCGCTCCGGCGGCGGCAGCCCCCAGCCGACGGGCTATGTCGCCCTTCTCCGCAAGCAAAAGGCCACCGTCTGGTGCGACCGCGCCCAATATGAGGATCCTCGCCTCTTGGCCCAGCAGCGCGCCGCCAAGATGCGAGCTACCCTCGAGGTCATCGGCGGCCAGCGAACCGCCTCTGGCCTCTCCGCTCCGTCCGGCGGCAGAACGAGTACCGGCATCAGTGCTACTGGCAAGGTTGCCGCTAAGATCCGTCACCACGGGAAGCCCGCCGTAGTGGGCTACGCTCCGGGAGAGCACCACGTTGGCGTCGGCGGCGTTCCCATGCGGCTGAGTGCTACCGAGGTTGAGGGCGAGGACAGCGACGACGACGACGCGCGCTTGCATCACAGACGGACCGGTAGCAGCGGCCGCAGTAGCACTGCGAGCCGTCGTGGCCCGGGATACCGATCATCCGGCGGCGGGCGCAGATGGAGCCCCGGAGATACGCCCGAGAGGAGTGGTAGCATGGTCGAGGACGTACCGGAGGACGCCACGCTGGGCGACAACGCGAGTGGTAGGGCCATGACGACGGGCTCAGGGAGCAGCGCTGAGCGGGCGGACAATGTCGGCGAGCTGGGCAATACTGCGGCGGCGAGATTGGCGAGCAACTCACTAATGCATTCGACCGTCACCCGCGAGAAGAGCGTCAAGGGCGCCGATGACCTACGCAGGAGGGGCAGCGTCGACGAGCGCACCACCACGCTCACCGGAGGCCGTCTTTACATCGCTAACCCCGATTTGTGAGAGGCCACGCTGCCCTCGCGGCCCCATACATATGTGTATGGATAAGTCGCCGACTTTCACAATACGTTACGAGCCCATCGGGATGGGCTTCATTCGCTATACCATGACGTGCGGAAAACGATTCGACATCTCTCCGACTTTCCTGTTCCTTCCTCGTCATCGCCAATCTGTTCGAATGTCTCTTTAGGCATACAAATACGGTCGCTAAGGGGGGGGGGGGGTGTTTGGTGATTTCTTTTACTGTCACAAACTTGCATCACTCGGCGTTTTACTTGGGGATTGTTTTTTATTATGGGTGGGATGATACCATACAGAGACCATCCCGAGATGGCACAGTTCGGTTTACCGGATGTGCCGGGGAGAGGGATCGAAATTCGAGTCTCCTTGTCAAAGATTTTCCAACATTGTTTCCGCTCCACGATCGCTTCCTACGGGTCTCTCTACCTTTGTTCCTACCATTTCCTTGGCTCGGACTCTTTTTTTATTTTCCTAGGCCGCGACGCTCCTCACATGGACAGACCATATTGCGATCTGTTCCCTAATCTGTGGACAAGACATCAAAAGCGAGATGGGAGGGGGAACGGATGTCAGGCAGGACAAGGGGAAGACAAAACCAAAGACGAATTGGGCAGGGTAAAGGGGGCGGAGGATGATACCACGGTTGAGATTGAAGGCCCTAGTGGAAGCTGTTTGGAATCACGGGCAACGGGGAAGGCGAGAGAGAGAGAGAGAGAGAGAGAGAGAGAGAGAGAAAGAGAGGCTGAGACAAACGAAGAAGCTCGAAATGCTCGAATATGAAAAGCCATTCCTGGGCATCACGATTGAACAACCCTTTTTTACCCGTATTGACTTATGCCATCCTGTCAAGTTGTGTGTGTGTGTGTGTGACCAATGGTGCCCAGGAACGTCAATTTCGGGAGAATTGGTTACCGAAAGGTTGATTCAGCCCAGCCAGCCGACCTTCTGGGGGGATAGTCAGAGACATTGTCTTCAAAGCTACGTAGCTGTGGAGGGTCGTCTTGGCTCGTCACGGAGTAAAGGGAACACCTTTCAGCCGACCCAGTAATATGATATTACCGTAATGCTTCTTCAGCCGCACGCCGTTTTCATTTGCCACATTTTCTTGGGGGGTTTTCCGATGGTTCAGGCTGACTTTCCAAGCATGGCAATCTGTAGAAAACTCTCTGTTGGACCAACCCATTCCCGCGTGGTTGAAATGGGAGACGCCAAACCCCATCCTGCAAGATCCGGGGTTGGGAGGAGGATGTTTGACTCGATGGGCATGTGGTGAGCCGCTTGCAGTGCTACCTTTTTACTTGGTCTATCCGTAATGAGCTACAGATACACTAAACTATCTAATTTACCGGCCAAACCTGTCATGTGTTCCAAAGATAGTACACTTTGATAGATCTAACCTCTTCCTTAGCTTTCCCCCCTCCCCTTCGGACTTGAGGCCGCCTCTCAGAGTCAATCTCTCTACTCCGTACGCTATCTCTTACCGTAGGTTCATAGGTCAGGGATTGCCATTGCTACCATACCATAGGTACCATTTTAGACTATCGCAATGCGCAGGAACTACTGCGACACTGTCAGTTCGTTTTTGACACACATGCGACCTCGTGTTTCGAGGAGTTTCTGACGGTTGACTTGTCCCAACTTTCCGTATGGTTGGCGCCCCCCTTCATTCTTTGGGTTCGAACGGAGACCCCGTACCCCAAAACTTTGTTTCTCAGGGTCTTTTGGCCTGTGTCTTGTCGATGACATGCATATCCTGGCTCCCGTGGCCATCTTCTGTAAACAGTACCAAAGAGTGCCCAAAACGACAGGTGGTGGGATACGAGAACTTCTCAAGGCAGACGATCGCCAACGTCGCCTCCGAGTGCCCAGCAACACCACCCAACATTGATCTTCAAGAGGTAAGTTACATAGCAAGGATGGGCGCCAACGCCCAGCACTCGGGAAACGCGGCGCCGCAAAGTCAACCACTGGAGGAAGTTCAGCACCCACGGCACTATACGAAGTGACTGCGTACGGGATATGCCTCCTTCTGCAGGCCATCCCGTCCCTGGCATGAAGTCCTCGCTTCTGCATCTCGTGCGTCTGCTGATTGCTGGCTTCCTCTGTACCCTCTTTTGTTTACCTGCATTTTTTGAGCGGGTATCGCTGCGAAAAAAGAACCACCGCCACTTACCGACAGGCAGGGATCCTTTTTCGCAGGCGGCAAACAATCATCATCATCAGGGTCCTAGTTGACAGAGGGACCTTACGCGCAGGGCGGGCGGCGTTGTCGATCACTTCGTGTTTTTGCCCACCAAAGAAAGAAGAACAAGACCCCTAGGTTTTTTCTTCCATTTCCACCTTTCCAACTTTCCTTGGTGAAGATTATCGCTCTTGTCCGTCGACTCCGTCTGCCCCGATTAATAGTGATAGGCAGAGACAGGCACAGGGTCGCGGGGACATCGGGGTGAATGGAGTAAACGTGATGGCAGGTGGGAAAGGATAGCCAGAGGGTGGGAAAAAGAGAAATGGCATCATGATGTAACGTTCTGACTTGAGCCAAGACCGATTGACACCGAAAGGCGGGTCTCCCTTTGCTGGTGAGGTGTGGTTGGATGGTTTTGTCTTCTGTCTCCATTGAATGTTTGGTGGCCCTTGTCAACGTCTGCCTCGGTGTAGTGCGAAGGAGATGTCAGACCGAAGCTACAGACCGAGATCTCACCGAGAATGAGGTAATACCGCACTGACCAACGCAGGTCTGTCAGATACCAGCCACATGAGGCCAGTGAGGATAGGCCGTCAGCCACAATGCGGCCTTCGTCATTATTGTGCTGACATAAGCTCCCAGCTGACCGAAACGCGTGCAGGTGGGGCTGCGTTTAAGAGGTTTTGTTAGTGCGCAACTCGCGGGAGCATTGAAAGTAGAGTACTTGAACAATTAACCAAAGCAAAGGTGATGTCTCTGATCTAGAATAATGCCTTGAGTAAATTGTTTTGGACTCTCTTCTCAGATCAACTTCTATGTTTACTCGAAAGTAGAATCGAAATTACTGGGAGTGTTCTCTTCTACGGAGTACTATGATAGTTGTTTAATTGATTCTAACAATACCTATAATCCACACCCGTCGTCCATTTAACAGAGTTTCCCCTTAACGCGTCGCCCAATACCCTGTCGCTCACCATTGGCAAGGCCCAATCTCCCCTTTCTGCACCAAGAAGGAGCCCTGCCACTAATTCAAATGGTAATGGTGCCTATCGGCCCAAAGACACGACCCCCCGGCCTCCTCAACGCCAAATTTACGCGTCAGTCGCGTCCCGGCGGAACGTCCCAACCTTACCTGTCAACCTCCACTAACGGTCTTTTCCACTTTGCGAGACCGACGACCTGACCTGCCGCCATTGAGCCTGCCATCACGGCTCTTTCCTGAAGCCGAACGACACCTCATTCATTGTTCGAAATACCTGACTGTCGTCCTGCCAGCGATTCACTCACCAAGTACCTATTCTCTGGTCTGGTTGCGGGATACTCGATCCATTTCAATCTTCCCCACCACACCAACTGCCACGGACACAACTTCAGCCTCATTCTACACTTTACACGAACACGACCAACCGACGAGCACTGTCGCGAACCTTGCGACACCCGGTGTCCGATGCCTCTATTCGAGATGTCATCCAACATCAAACGAGAATCAGACATGGAGGCTAGCGGCCTGAAGAGAAGTCACGATGATTTCTCCGGTGACGAGGTCACCATTGAGGATCGTGGCTTGCAGAACGGCGTCAAACATCAGGCCACCGAGGCCGTTGTCCAACCCAGCAAAGGTATGAGCTACCTAACATGTCCACATTGTGGCCATCATTTTGCTCCGATCATCCATCTAACCTTCGCAGCTGGGTCTCCCGCCCGCCAGATGCCTACCCGCGATATATCGCCAGCCCCCAGTAGCCCGAGCTCACTGACCGATGCCGGCACCCTCACACCAGAGCGCGGCTCGCCCTCACCCGACCTCACACCTAGCAAGAGCACGACTCCCCTCAAGCAGACCACAACAAGTGCCAATCCCGCTTCATCATCAAAGACACCTGCCTCAACAACCCAACCCACCAAACGGAAGCGCCGGACCGCAGCCGAAAAGGAGGCCGAAGAGAAGGAAAAGGCACAGAAGAAGAAGGAGCGTGAAGAAAAGAAAGAAGCCAAACAGGCCGAAAAGGCAAAAGCCGACGCTGAAAGACAAGTCAAACAGGCCGAAAAGGCAAAAGCCGACGCCGAAAAACAAGCCAAACAAGATGAGAAGCGCCGTAAGAAGGAGGAGGAAGAACGCAAAGCCCAACAGGAAAAGGAGAAGAAGGAGCGTGCCCAGCCGAAGCTCATGTCCTTTTTTAAGGCACCCGCCACGCCCAAGAAGGATACATTGGTGCCTATCATCAAGTCAGGGAGCCCTTCCAAATCCGCACTTACGCCAGACGCCAAATCTCCCGCAGCCAAGAAGGAGGAGCTATCAGAATATGAGAAGCGGTTCAAGCCGTTCTTTGTGCAAAGCAGTGTTCGCCTGGCCAAGAGCCCCTTCGAGATGGACGACGAGGCGCACGAGGCCAAGACGAGGATATTGGGAGAGTACTTTGATGGAAAGAGAAAGTCAACCCAAGCGGGCGGCTTTGATGCTATCGAGGTTTTCCAGCTTCCTGGTCGTCCTGCTCCGCGAGGCAGAATCTACCCGCCAGTGCGGTTCAGCGTTGAAAAGATGCGAAAGCTCACACAAGAAGCAAACAGCGAAGACGACAAGAAGGCGATTGTAAAGGATATTGCAGATGCGCTGAGGAAGGTCCCTACAAAGTCGCTCAAGTTCTATCAGGATGTGCGGCCTCCTTACAGGGGTACCGTCACCCTCAGACCCTATCAAGCAGGCAAATCTGGCATGCGACGCCTCGCCCGAAACCCCATCCGCCGCGACCAACTCCCCGTAAACTATGACCACGACTCGGAAGCCGAATGGGAAAGTGAAGGCGAGGACGTCGATATCGACGATGATGACGATGAGGATCTCGATGCCGACGGCGAAGACATGGACGAGTTCCTCGACGACTCGGAGGACAACGGCCCTGCTCGGTTCGTGAGTGCCAACGGCCTCGAACCGGAGAGCACCGGCCTCTGCTGGGAGGATCGCACACGCAAAGGTCCTAACCGCACCGTGTACGAGCACAGGATGGAATTCATTCTGGGTAAGCTATATCCCGTCTCCCGCTCATATAGCAGCGTTAACACATGTTTTGAAGAGAGCCTCGAACACCACCACAGTATCGATCCCTTCTCGACGGAATACTGGGAACCCGAACCGAAGCCCAAGCCTGTCGGTCGTCCACCTAAAGACAAGACTGCCAAGGCTCAAGCGATTAAGGACAAGACGGTTAAGACCCAAGCGGCAAAGGATAAGCCTGCTACAGACTCGAAGCCGGCCGATGCCTTCAAAGCAATCACCTGCGGCAGTACAAAGAACAGCGTGCAGTCGCTGCCGAAGAAAATCTTGGAGAACAACAATCTCCAGGAGCTCAAGAAGGTTATCGAGGCGAATCCCAAGATCGCCAAGGGTGGCCTGGTCGATCTCTCGTACGTTGCACTTGCTCACGCCAAGATTTCCCGCAACGACCTGAAGGAGGCCATCGCCATGATTGCCGAAAAGGTCGGCGGTAAAGGGCTTGCCGGCTCCTGGGCTATCAAGTCAGGTTTCGACGTTTGAGAGAGAGAGAGAGAGAGAGAGAGAGAGCATTGGCATGCTGTGAGAATTCGGCGTATGAAAAAAAGGGAAGGCGTACTATTCTGATTCGATGAGGATACCTCGGCGGACATGTTTATCCCACCCACAGTTTATTGTCCGCCATTGTTCATGTTATTTGGGAGGAGTATGGACTTCGTTTCTTACTTTTGTTCCGGGTCTTTGAGATTGTTGTCGGCTGAGGGAAGGCACAAGCCGGATGGGCGAAGCCCCCAGCATCTTTTACGAGCCACCCACAATAGTGGTGGATTCTATTGCACGTACTACATGCCTTTGCGCCTTTCGGGCGGTTATGATATGATGGCATAAGGGCGGCGTATAGTGGATTATTCCATTTTCTTTCTCTCGGACGGTATTTCGCATGGATGCATAATTGCTCTCTGGGCCACCGGTGGCAGCGGCGTTAGTAGGCTTAGTAGATGGTAGGAAGACAAAAGTCTCAACATGCCTATGTCTCTTCGTGTCTTACGCATGAGATTCCCTTCGAGTACTGGTGCCCGTTAGTAGTCTATCCGCTTTGATTTAAAGCCACCGCCCAAGCTTCAACAGCCGTCATCCGATAGAGTGCTGCTGAAACGCCTGCTTCCTATGTGAGAGAACTCGATGCTTGTGGTATATGGTTCATGACCGTGCTTTCACAATTTGACTGGGCACGTGTCAGAAAGATAGGTAAGCGTCCAAGTTGTCGGGCCCGGGAAGTCGGCAAGCGGCGAAATTGAAGTAGATTACATCGGTAGTGTCGGATTGAACAATACGAAAAAGGCTTCTCTCGAGAAGCCAGACGAAAGAGTCAGGCGAGGTTCATTCGGCCGTGTAACATGTAGATTGCAGTTGGTGCGATTCAGAACTACGAGTCGCGCAGCGCTGGCGGGCTGGCCAGGCGTCGAGCCCTGCAACTCGGGTTTATGAAGACGAGACAAGCTTTCTGCGTGAGTGCTTCTCATCTGGGGTACCTGGCTGCGCTGCGCCTATGTTGCCTACTCTGGTCACAGACAACGCTGTTTAATCACCGTGCTCTCCGACTCTCAGGCCGATTATCCGGAGAACTTCTGCCATTGGGTTCCGGGCACTCCACACGTGTAATTCGTAGGCTATGTTGACTCGTGAGCGATGAAGGGAGGCCGCTTGGGTTGGAGGTGTCGCAGCCCGCGCGAAGACTGCTTGGGATGAGGGTTCGTCCTATGCTTCTTCTTTGACGCAGGTGCTCAATCTAACCCAGGGAAAACCTACGCCCACGTCGCGCCAGTGAAAGTTAGTTAGAGGAGTCCATCATGGCTTGACAAGATGATGGACTAGAAGACCTTGAGTTGCCAAGCATGCCAAGCATGCCAAGACATATATAAGCCAACATGTGTAGCGTACTGAGATGTGGTAGACAGCAGCTCTCCAACCACGCCTTTCTTTCACAGTAGTTGTCACCATGCAACATCCACTCCTTAGCATCGCATTCCTCGCCTCTCTGGCCTCTGGCTACTGGCTACCCGAGACACTGGGCAAAGACCAGTTCAAGACCTGCGTCGTCCCCAAGTCCAAAGGCGACGACGCCCCGACCATTCTCTCGACAGTCAAATCCTGCGGCAGCAACTCCCGCGTCGTCTTCAGCGCCGGCACGGAATACAGCCTCCTCACCCCTCTAAAGTTCTCCGGCCTCACAAACGTAGAGTTCCAAATCGAGGGCAACCTCACCCTCTCAGACGACCCGGCCGCCGTCTCCGCCGTGGTCAACAACCGCTCCATTTACCCGGGCCACTGGATCACCGTCGCCAACAGCAAGGGCGTCACTTTCACGGCTTCGACTGCCCAGGGCGGCGGCTGGATCAACGGCCACGGCGATAAGTGGTGGTCCAGCGCCAACGTCAGCAGCAATAATGGGCGCCCGCACATGTTCTCGTTCGGTGTGACGAGTTTGCGGCTGCGGGGGCTCAAGATTCTTAACCCCGTCGCGTGGTGCTTCTCGATAAGCGGGCAGGATGTCTACATGACTGACACCGTGCTGGACGCGCGGTCCAAGACTGCGTTCCCTTTCAACACGGACGGTATTGACGTTGGCGGTTCCGATATTGTCATCGATGGGTGGACCAGCTGGAACGGCGACGACATCATCAACGTCTCTCCGCCGGCTGTGAATGTGACTATGCGCAACGTCGTCGGATACGGCACGCACGGCATCTCGGTCTCCTGCGCGTCTGGCTCGGGTAGCGGGTACCTGTTTGAGAACGCAGAGATCCACGACTCGCTGTTGGGAGCTCGCTTCAAGGGCTCCGTGGGCACGACGTGCCAGATTTCTGATGTGACCTGGCGCAACTTCACAATCACCAACACTGCTTACCCCATTCACTTTATCGAGGACTATGTCGATCAAGAAAAGGGCGCTGCCGGGAAGGATGCTTCGCTGGCTGCGTTTGCCAAGAACTTCCGCTGGGAGAATATCAAGGCGCATACTGGCTCGGGTCTCAAGGACGGCAGCTGTACCTCTAGCCCATGCTGGAGCCAAAGTCTAGGTGAGTACTAACGAGTTCAAACTATACCTTACTCAACGACACATCTACGAGGAAATGCTAACACGTTACTTTGATTCTCAGGCGCCTCAACCAAGAAGGGGTTGTACCTTATGTGCAAAGACGCGGCGCATTGCCAGGACTTCACCTTCAAGGACATCACCCTCGTCGCAGCTGTAAGTCTTCACAGGGGAAACTATGATGAGGGATTAGTCTTGCTAACAGTATATAGGATGGCAGCGCAGGTGAGATGGAGTGTGTTGGACTGGAAGGAGCTACAGGCCTCGGCATCCCTTGCACGAACGGCACTTTGACCGGAGGCAAATAGTTGATCCCTAAACGATACTTGGAGACGTCGAGTCTCGAGTCCTTTTTAAGCGAATACAGCAACGTAATTCAAATCAACTAGTGACACAAGAGTTGAGCGTCTCGCGAATATTGAGTATATGCGCATCGACTGATGGTAAAAACTTGTTGTGTTTCTGTGCCGCACCCGCCGACGTCTTAACCAGTCGGAACGAATCCACTGTCCGTCTCTCAGTTCCGTTGTCTGCTGCGTATTCTTGTAGGTATACAAAGAGAGGGAGCTGAGTTGAGAAGATCCATCAATTGTCGAAGTAGGTCAGTTGTTTGCATTGAGACCATCTATGGGTGAGCGTTGGAAGGTGATTCATCACAATCATACTAGGTGGGCAACTGAGATTTCGGTAGAGACTCAGAGAGGAGGACATGTGTTGGAAGGGAGCCAAATCGGCGTGAGCGCCTGTCTTGGTTGGCGGTGGGTGGCGTGCTAGCTCGAGGCCTACCCTACGAGATGTTTATCATGAACTCAGGAGAAAGTGGCTTGGCCAGCCCGGAGCTAGTTAGAGAAGTCAACCCTTTTACTGTGCGGCAATATATTTCTCTTGATTACAAAGGTAACGGGAATATCGGGCGAAGAGAACATAGCCTCATATGGCCGGCTCCAGCGCGGCCAGGCTTTGAGCCTATCCCCAAGTCACTGATTAAGTGAAGAGAAACGAACACTGAAAACGACCAAAAACGCCACAGATGACCGAATCATAATCAATTGCTACAATACCACGAAACCCATCACAGCTTAGATTTCTCAACCCTCTGCCCATCAGCCCTCCCCGGCGCCGGATCCTTCTTCGTAACCTCGGCCTTGAGACTAACGGGATCCCCCAGCTGCGACGGGTTTCCGCTCTCGAGGTCCTCCTTAGCAACGTCCTTCAACCGTCTTTTGTCGTAGTCCTGAACGGGCGATCCATCCGAATTCTTCGCGCCTGTGGGACCACCGTCACCGCTGCTGCCCTTGGACTGCGTACCGGAGCGCGGTTTCGAGTCCGCTGCCGCGCCGAGGTCACCTTCCGTCGGCGAGAGCTTGGAGACTTCGGCCTTGAGGGAGACGGGATCGCCTAGTTGTGATGGGTTGGAGGAGTTCGCCTTTGCGGCGACGTGTTTGAGGCGTTCGGGCTGTTTTTGCTGCTGGTGAGGTGGTGTTGGTATGTAGGTACGTTGAAACGTGGACCAAGTGCAAGCCGGGGATGTGCTTGAGAGTGAGCAACTTACGGGAGCCATTTTGTCTATTTCTGTAATCTAATCGTCTCTATCGATAAGTAGAGATATCGAATTCTAGCAACAGGGAAACCAGCTCCGTTTTAAACTACTCTCCTACCAGCAGACGAGGCCGTTGCAGGATGACAGAATGCCAGCCATGGCGTCGCGCGGTCTTTGACGCCTTCATCTTTGATGACGTGTATGACTTACAAGCCGAGGGCCACAGCGTGGGACACAAACCACACCTACAGTACCTTACCACCTTACTTACCAACGCGGATGGTCCCGTCATAGGTAATTAAGTAGAACAAGCCTCATCGGATCTTCCAATTGCGGAGAAATGATCCAAGATTGGTAGTAGATGGGATTTGAAGACATGTGAAGACGAGCTAGTGAATTGGACAACCTCCGGGCTGCAGTAGACTTACACGAATTCCTCGTGCATTTCATCTGCTTCGCAACACACGTGCAATTCCACCTTTACAAACTAACATCTTCGAGAAACGAGATATATATACTATTCTAATCGTGATATCTGCAGGTGCTCTTCCAGACGCACAGGATGCTAATTACGCTAATCTCCTAAAAATACAACAATAATACTCTCGTGATGCAGTCAATCGTTGGACCCCGTGTGGTTTATACAACTCACCACCTCGTACCGAGGTCTCCTTCTCCCTAGTCATTGCTCACAAGCGCACACGAAGTTATGACCTCGCCGCAATCTGCGCCGCGCTCGCAACAGCCTGAAGCGGCTCCAACTCATCCTCCATATCGCGATCCGTCTGCTCCACCCCCGCAATCTGCGCGTTCACACCCGACCCGCTACCACCACCATTTGCCGCTGTCGTAGCAGTGGCTACCGTCGAGCCGTCGGCCGGCGGTGGCGCCTCCTCCTCTTCTTCG